ATCTTGTACATTAGGGTGTCTTCTCTAGATGTGGAAATTGCTTTATTTATTTGTTCCCTGATTAGGTGTTTATAGCCACATGTTGTGAATTGATGCTCCAGATTTTCAATGTGTTTATTTAATTCTTCATTGTTGGAACATATCCTTCTAAGTGCTTGTGAATAGAGAAGGTTCTCTTTAAGTTGTTTAGGGTGGGAAGACTTAAAGTGTAGATAGTTGTGGGTGTCGGTGATTTTAGTGTGTAGTGTCATTTGTAGTTTCCTGTTTTCATCTATGTAAATGCGGGTGTCTAAAAATGTTACTGATGTTGTGGATTTTTCATAGTCAAACTTAATTGAGTCATGCACTGTGTTCAGTCATGAGGAATTGGATAAGTTTTTCATCACTGCCTATGTATACAAAGAATATATCATCGATATATCTTGCATAGAATACACAGTCACTACCAATAAGGGCATAGATATGGGTCTCCTCAAATTTTCCCATGAATATTGTAGCATATGATGGAACTGCAATGGTGCTCATGGCTCAGCTTCTTACTTTCAGTTAGTGTGCTCTATTGAAGTTGAAAGTATTCAATGTAAGAATATGCTCCATGAGCTTTATGATAACTTCTGGGAGGGGGAGATCTTGTTTTCTTTTTTTTAGTAAGTGCTTCCTGAAGGGCAGTTAGCCCTTCGATGTGTTTAATGTTTGAATAGAGTGATCTTACATTCATACTCACTAGAATAGCATTCTCTGGCACTGTATGTGATTAATTTTGTTTAGTAGGTCTATTGTGTCTCTGATGTAGTATTTTACTTCCTTAGCTAGGGGTTGTATGTAATGGTCTATGTATTTGGAAATTTTGGTCGTGTGGCAGTTGAATGATGAAATGACTGGCCTTCCTGGGTGGTTGCTTTTGTGTATTTTAGGAAGGAGATAGAAGCAAGCAGGTGTGATGTTTGTGGGTGTAAGTGTTGTGCATGTTTCCTTGTCGATTAGATTTTTGCAAAGCATTATGTTTAGTGAGCTAGTTAATTCTTTTTGGTATTCAGAAAGAGGGTCTGTAGGTAAGCTTTTGTAGGTTTCTTTGTCGGCGAGCTGATTGTTGGCCTCTTTAATGTGGCACCCCCTTTGTCAGCCTGTGTTATGATTAAGTCATCTCTATGTGTCAGCGTCTCAAGGGCTATACATTCCCCTTCAGTAATATTGTTATGTGGCAGCTTACGGGCTATTGTTTTCTTTGTTATTTGCTATTACTATTTCAAATGTCTGTATAGTAATTTCTGTGTTTTGTAGGGTGAATGTAGTGTCCTTCTTTTTTAATGTATCAAGTATGGAAGGTGTGTGATCATTGTCCCCACAGTGGGCTTTTAGCCATATTCTTCTGAAGAAGGATTTCAGGTCCTTTGCCAAGGTGCCTTTACCAAACCTTGGGGGGACTAGGGCAAAAGCTTAGTCCTTTATTTAATAACCTGAATGTGTTGAGTGAAAATTTATTGTTACTTAAATTTATAACTCGCCCATATGGGTCAAGTTTGTATTTGCAAGCATGGCAAAGTTCTTTCGTAGAAGCTCAAAAGCTTGCATCATGTCTCCTATTAGGGATTCTATACCTCCCTCCAAGTGTCCTAATTGGGGCTTATCCCATTTTTTATATATATATATATATATATATATATATATATATATATATATATATATATATATATGTATGGTGTTGTAATTGACAGGATATCAGATTGAGAAATCAGAGTGCTGAATTCAAATTCATGATATTCACTTGCTTCCCAAGGTTGCTATAATAATACTCTTAGGAAAGGTTTGAGTCCATATCTTCTTGTGCCAGCTCTGGGTAAATATCAGGACAGACTGAGTCCTGTAGCCTTAGATGGTAATCAGTCTAGGAGAAGGATAACTCTGAATTCAAAACTGGAGAAGAGTCATTTGGGGACCTTGTGGCATACGGTGCACTAGTTCACTATTCATCTCTTCCAAAAATTGTAGTCTGTTCTGCACAACCTTTCACAATTTTGTTCAGATAACATGGCTGTCTGGTTCTAAGAACTGAGCTGCTGAACCCTTATACATTGCAAAATAATAGGAGAATCCTCTCTCTCTCTCTCTCTCTCTATATATATATATATATAATTTCACACACACCAGTGACTTAGATAACTGCACTAATTTACAAAGATAATTGAATAGTAAAGATTTTCTTAAAACTAAAACCAAGGTACCTATAGGTATGATGTTAGTAAATATATAAACAAAAATCTGAATATTTAATTTTCAATAATTGTAAAAAGAAAATGTACGCCCTGTAATATTTCGATGACGATTGTTTTTGGCATGAAAGACAACTTAAAAGATTTGGTTGACAGTTTTTTTTATTTCACAGGTTCACACATTCAAAAAGTATATATGCAGTACCTGTGTCTCATGATGAGCTCTCGTTTATTATCTCACATCATGTCAAAATCTCATTCAGGAAAGTTCTGTATCAAGAGTATAACTCATGGTTACTTTAGTTACTACACACATTACATGCCCAGAATTAATGGTATGTGAAAATTAATAGTCATTTATACATTCTGTAATATCTGTCTATATCTCTGAGATGAGGTATGATTACTTACATTATTTACATTATTTGGGCTGTTATCCTCATCTTCATTGCTATATTCACATTTCGGCCATTGTACACTTCAACCTTCTTCAGGTGATTGGAATTTTGAACCAAACCCTTTATTTAGAACAATCTACTCCAGTGGGCGAAATAAAGGGTTCAATTCAAAATTCCAATCACCTGAAGAAGGCCGATGAGGTATTATAATTACTTACATTATTTACATTATTCAGACTATTATCTTCATTGCCATATTCACAATATTTCAGCCTTCTTCAGGTGATTGGAATGAGGTGATTCCACATAGAACTAGAACAATCTACCTTGGTGGGCAAAATAAAGGGTTCGGTTCAAAATTCCAATCACTGGAAGAAGGCCGGAGCATATAATGGCTAAAACGTTGTGAGATGGTGATGAGGATAACAGTCCAAATAATGTAAATGATATAAGTATACATTGTTTTTTCATCATTTTGTTTTTAAATCGGTTTGGTAAGTTTTCATTTTTCTACATTCCTATGCTTACATTTAAGCTGGTTTCAGGTGCTTGGTTTTCTTGCTTTTATACATGTTTTCAATTCATCTCATAAGCTCTTCTGTTGAGACCCTGTCAAGGAAAAGGTAAAATTTGTATTCTAATTATGATGTTATTGCAGGACAAGTTTAGAAAGATATTTTGGGTCATTGTTATAGATTTCAACCAAGTTTCAATTCCAGATTTCTATTTCATAAGAAAATCTATTTTTTTTTTTATTTTTTTTTTTTAAATTCAACTATTAACACTTACCAAACTTCCTATGTTGCTAAAATTTAGATAAACAGTTCTTTAGCTAGGGCCGCTTTCTGTTTTTATGACATTTTTACTAGGAAATTCAGTATTTGTTTTTGACACATATTCTTATATAGAATCCATGTGTATAAACAAAGACTTGCATATTATATTCCAACTATTCATAACACATAAAACATATATTTATAAAATTCATTACACTATATAAGAATACTTTTTTTTCAAAACAACTACTTGAAAGGTGAAGATGCTACTCGTGTCACATGACTTGATAAATAAATAGATTCTTGCTGATTTGCTGTGGTTACATATTTTGAAATAAATGCAAGGAAGAAACAAATATGTATAATAAAAAATATACTTATTTTGAAAAAGACAACACTTGTTTTAAGCTATTATTCCAAATTTTCAAATAATGTATTAACTATGAAGCCCTGTGGAACAATAAACCTTCTTTTACCATCTTTAAATACAAATTAAATATGTAATTAATAATAAAATTGATAATATTGTTACCTCATCATTTTGTATTATGAATGGCTTTCAACTGAAACCCAACAGCTTTATGGCTGGTCTAGTGTGTGTGTAATATATATATATATATATATATATATATATATATATAAAACATTGACAAAGTGAAAGTTTTAGTTTATTGGGAATAAAATTTAAATTATAAATATTGCAGCAGTTTTTTTATTTATGCAAGTTTCATTGAAAACCAATAACTGACCTGTGAAAACTTAATCCTTGTAATAAAAAAAAACAAAACTTGTACAACACTTACTTCTTAGTCAAAATGTAGCACTCAAAATCACTCAAAAATATACATACTAATACTGCTACAGTCATCAAATATTTTGCTTGAATTTACCTTGGGAACCAGAAAATGATTTGAATTTTAGAAAAATTAAATTAAAAAGAAACAAACTTAAACAACCTTCATTAGTATTTAGCCAAATGCATATTTATAATTTACAAAAAATATGTCTTCTTGGCCGGCTACTACTTAAAGTTTCAGGTGTGCATAAACATGTTACTTTATGTCGTAACCAGTCAATGGAAACACCTTTTTTATTTATTTTTTATTTTTGTCAATTATATTTACTCTGCTATAAAGCATTGAACACTTTTGTCTCCCCAATGTTCTTTTTTTCTATATCCCTTAGTGGCTATTTTACTTATTAAATAAAATCTATAATCAAATTTAAAGTCTTTTTAATGGGTGAGTAGAGGGCACACTGTACTTTCATGATGCCACTTCTTACAAGTGAAAACCAAAGAGTTCCATATTTTCTTTGACTAATCCTCTTTTTGTTAAATAAAAATTCTAGTCTTGCGTGACTTTTTTTATCTTTGTTTCCAATCATTGTCCATGTGAAAATTTACTTTTCAGGTAATTTTTAATAATAATAATGAGACCAGCTGCAGAAATCAGATATTTAATGACTAACAAATAAGATTGAAGTAAATGAGTTTCAAGAAGTTGTTTACCTCTGACACCTGCCAATCTGATTAACAAATCAGTTTGTGGAATATCTTTATCTTGTCTCTATCATCTTTGCTTTAATTTTTGCTGCTTTGTTTTCTTCTTTTGCAGGTCTCTACATGGGAAGGCACCTACGACCCAGATACAGAAAGGAACAAGGTATGATATTCCAAATCTAAGAATGTATCTTTTCTCTAATTGGCACAGGTTTTGGATTCATTTCTCAACCCTAATTATCTTTCTTGCCTATACAGAATAATCTGCCAAGCAAAATAAAACAATCTGCTAAATCTTTTTGACAGGCTCTATGTATTTTATGTTCTTCTTTCAACCTTAACATTGTTGGGATATAATCTTATTCAAAATGTGTCGGATGTTAAAAGGAAACACAAAATTAAGTTAGGCTTGTTTTACTTTTATGTAATAATAAATAAGAAAAACTATTATTATAGATTAGTTTACTTAACCTTAGAATGGAAAACACAAAATCTCATGCGTATTAATTTCTCCGGCAGTTTCATACTCTCATGATGTCATTGTCTATGGTTGTAAAAACCATAAAAATCTTTATTTTTGTGATATGTCTCAGTCGATTTTGAAAAGAGCTCTATAGGAAATACAGCGACACTCAAAAATATTGGACACTAGAATGTATATTAAAACTTGACCTGAATATAAGAAATACTTTCTGTGTGTAAGGAGAATTAAACAAATGTTTGCCAATCTTCTATGTGCCGTGTCCCTTCAGGATGTTTGGTGATCATGGCTCTCCACAATTTCCTGTGCTTTGTAATAATAATAATAAATTTTGTCTTTTTGTTATGTCCCCCAAACCTTGTTCTGCCATCCATTTACTGAAGCTTGCTGGGTAGTTTATGGCATTTTTTTTCTCTGTTTCTATTGCCTTCAATCTGTCCCTGTGAGTATCACATTTTGCAAGCCCTCTTTCCTCATAATGTGCCCTAGAAACTTCAACTCTCTCTTCCTGGTGTTAAATATAAGTATCCTTTTTTTTGTCAATTTTCTCTGCCATATAAAACGACTATTCAGTAACAGTTCAGTATTCTTTTCTTTGTTTCTAACAAAATTTTCCTGTTTCTTAATACTTTTAGTTTTTGGAAGGCATCTTTCACCTTTGGATTTCAATGTTGCACTTTCCATCCTCTGTTAAATCACTTCCCATATATCTAAATTGTTACGCTTGTTTGATTTTATTGATAAATACAACAGAACGACGTAATATCCAAAAGTTTTGGACACATTCTGGAAATTACTTTAAAGGTGGGTAAAAAAATGCAATATAAGATTGATCTCTATTCAAATTATTGCAAAATTCCACCGTTTACTCAAAGCACAATGGCCAACACCTTAAAACATTTAGATGTACACCTTGTCTAGAGTTATTATGCAAATCATATAAACTTCAATAATTCAAATTTGGTTTGAAAAAAAAAATGATCAAATTTTAAACAATCAATTTAGATATCAAAACAAAGCCTGAGTTAAAATTCTAGGTAGTATCAGTATGTTTTAGTGAAGTTATTTGATGTATTCTAAAACAACTGCCATCTGAAGTCGTTAGGCAAAACCAAATAATCACATTTTACTTCAATAAAAAGTCAATTAATTCATCAAAAATTGATGAACACCTCTAATAGAACAAATAACAAACACAGATGATAAATCTTTGAATCCTTTACATTTTAATATAGTAACCATTTTTCTCAATAACTATCAGTAATTGATTTTTGTTAATTTTTTTTTACTTCAGCAGGTTCAATTTCCAACATGGTAGTTTTAATTGCTTCCCATGGCTCTTCTTTGCTGTTACATTGTTTGCCAACTTCATATAATTTCATCTTCACAATTGACCATAGATTTTCAATTGGATTTAGATCAGGACTTAATGGTGGCCATTACATTATCTTATCTCCTGTAAATCTTTTATACTCAAATAATTTACGGGTATACTTAGATACATGAGAAGGAGTATTGCTATGCATAAATACACACTCCACTTTGAAACAGCGAAACTGGTACTATGCAAAGAAACTCTTCTTCATAAAATTGCAATAGTTAGCACTGTTCAGTTTAATTGCTTCATTGATTTTGAATGGTCTAATAATGGTTTGGTTGATAATTCCAGCCTATATCATGACACTAGTGTCTCCTTCTTTTAGCCACAGGCACATCAGAATTGGATGAAATCTATCCTTTAGCTCAACCATCAGGTCCATCAAATGTCACTCAAGATTCGTCCATGAAAATTACTTTAGAAAAGTCAATTTTCCTGTATTTCTTGGCTCAATTTTGATGCTTTAAAATATTTGTTTTAATGAGAGATTTCCCAGGAGATCTACACCTTTTTTCTTTCTTGACTCCTTCAATTCTAGCCTTTTCAAAGATCTGAGCACTGATCAAAAAGGGTTGTTTTTCTATAATTCACTTTAGTTTACGTTCATTTTAAGGAAGCAAGTTCTTAAAGCCTTTTCCTTTGCTTTGAGTTCTCAAGTTATTTATATTTTCAACAGCCTTCTTTATCCTTTGATGATCTCTGTAAAGCTCCCTTGATATCTCCAATATGGATATTCCCTCACTTAATAACTTTATTTTCTTTCTTTCAGCAGTTGTTTACCCAGGTTTCAACATATATTATGGATGAAAAGAAAAATAGATTTTATGATTTCAGAGGTCTTAAGAGCTAATATTAGTTTAATATGCATAATACTTCAATCAGTCTATTTTAGTAAATTTTAAATATCTCAAAAACTAATCATTAAAAATGTCAGAAAATTTAATTGAATATTTTTCTAATGTTGGAAATGGACAAGTTTAACTTTTTGAATTTTTGAGGTTTATTTGATTTGCATAATAACTTCAGACAGGATGTACTTTGGTCACTGAAAATGGAAAGATGATAGCCTGAGTCGTAATCTGTTTGAAAAAGGATGTCCTCCTAAAGTAAGTTATCATCATTTATTGCAAAGTAATGCACAATCCATTTACATCTTGAAGAGAACTTTAGAAAGATCTGCAGAGTCTGTTGTCACAGAAGTAAGCAAGGATACAATTAAACCAACATTCTGACAGGACTGCATTCTACGGTTCCTAAAAAGACTTTTTTGCTGAATCCCAAGCCAGAAAAAAAAAAGGCTTCTATACAGTCTGTCCATCATCCTGAAAAAGGTTACTCCATTCTACAAACAAATATTCAGATCTGACAAGATCAAAATCTTTGAAAAACAGCTTGAAACAGTGGCTAGAGAAAGAACATTTCATATAATGATGCCCCCATCAATACAATCGCAATAATTAATCATGGTGGTGGAAGTAGGATTTATAATTGTGCCATGGAACACTATATTACATTGAAGAAACACTGGATTATACTATATAACAAGAAATACTAGAGACAAGCACATTGCCATTGATAAAATTTTTCAAAGTACCAAGAAAATTGCTTTTTTAACAAATTCCAAAGCATCTGTCTATATTTCTGAGATGAAGTATTATGTACATTATTTACATTGTTCAGACTATTCAAGGACACATGGCACAGTGGATAAAAGTGTTGGTTAGATCCAGTGACAGGACCCAAAGTGTGAGTTCAATACCCGATTAAGGCAGTGGTGAACATGGAAAGGGGAATTAACAGGAGATAACTGACAACTGACATCTATTAAACATGGCACGTAGAACTAGAACAGTCTACCCCAGTGAGCGAAATAAAGGGTTCAGTTCGTCATTCCAACCACCAATGGCTGAAACATTTTAATAAATATGGCGACAAAGATGAAGACAACAGTCCGAATAATGTAAATAGTGTCTAAAAATGACTGTTGATAAATCAGTTTTCATGTACTTCTTCACCCAACATAAATATGGCGACAAAGATGAGGACAATAGACCGAATAATGTAAATAATGTACATAATACCTCATCTCAGAAATATAGACGGATACTGAAGGGCCAAAATGTTGTAATAAATATGGCGATAAAGATGAGGACAATAGTCCGAATAATGTAAATAAATTCCAAAGCATAGTGAAAATGAAAGTATGGTCAAAGAAATTAAGGCATTTAGAGCAGCTTAGTTAGTCCTAAGGAGTGGGATAGAATCGGTGATATTTTTTTTTTGCAAGAAGCTTATCTCAAATTATTTCAAAAGTGTGACAGCTGTCATATCAAATAATGGATATGCTATTAAATACAGGATGCTATTTTGTTGATGTGTGTCCAAACCTTTTGTGCCTTATTTTCTCTTGTATTTGGTAATAAATTTATGTATAGGCAAACATTTCTTTATTTCTCCATAGTAATAAGTGGTGGAAGTATGATTTAGGATTGTTTCTGCTCTTGTGTTGTATAGCATTGGTCAAAGGAGATTTTAAGAAAATCATCATTTCTATTCTTACTTAGTCAATATTGCGAATACATAGGATTGACTAGGTATCAGGAGAGATAAAGATAAGTTCGGCTGCATATAAAGTTCTTCATAAATATGATAGAAAGTAGCAAGAAAAGTTTTGGACATGTACCAATAAACAGTATTCAATATTTAATGTCACCTTCATCATCTGATATGACTTCTGTCCGACATTTGGAATAATTTGAGGTAAGCTTCTTGCAGAAATTAACACCAGATGCAAGAATGTAAATGACACCATTCGACAAAGTAAGTTTTCAGCTTCTATCTTCTATTGGCTAATGATAATAATTTCTACTATTCTAGAAAAAAATGTTTCTTATATAAATTTGATATGAAATTTTTCTTCTGGTTACTCTAGATAAAAAAAGGGGGTTTAGGGACATAAATGAGCCCAATTTTCTTCTTCCTCTGCATGATAAATTATTTGAACCAAATTTGACTTTTCAGCCTAACCTTTCATTGTTATATTGATTTAGTTTCCAGATTTTTTGTTGTGTTTTTATATCATCTCTGGATTCAGTTTGCTAGATTCAAAAGCTACAATGGAGAATTTTCTTTTTTATCTGACTTTATTATATAAGGGACAGTAGTTGTATTGGGTTGGTGCATAATTATCAGGCGTTTTTGTAGGTGAGTTATTTGTTAACAAAAATTACTGTTTTGTTTACTTTTTTAATAATAATATTTTATTTTCTGGTTATAAAAATGCATGTCAATAATCATACACTCAGGAATAAAAATTTAAAAATGTTATTGTTGAATTATGTTTCTTTTTTCATAATAAATATTGTTTAAAACGCCTGATAATTATGCACCAAATTAGTACCATTGTTTTTAGGCAGAAGTGAGTGGGTGATGGTCAAACAAGATCTCCTTGCCACGTATTGACTTGCTTCACTAAGGAATATTAGTGTAGTGAGATATATTGACCCTCTTAATTCTTAGAGCCATCCAAGTGTCTTTCTGTGTTTTTTTTTTTGTTTTATATCTAAACTTAAAGAACAGCAATCCTTCTCTGTCAGAATTCCATATCTATAGGGGATTCAAACAAATAACTTTCACATTGACGAATAACCTTCAAGGAATTTTGACCTTACTAGTAGTTTACCATTTTGCATCAGTATAAACATTCTGTAATATATTATTATCAAATTTGTCTCTAAGTTATCTGGAGTGGGCCACTTGGTGAGAGAAATTTTACTAGTAATAGCCTGAGAGAAACTTTCTAACAATCACTATGGCAGAATACGGACAATAATAAAAGAAATATTAGGAAAATAAGTTTAAAAAAAAAATCACAATGTTAGATTATTGGCCCCATTTGATAAAACAAAAACTATATGGTTTTCAATGGTATAATTTTAAAGCAGAAATCTCCCTCGGAGAAAATCATATTGGTAAGAAATTCCAAATAGGTTTTCCTGAAACTACTAATTTTCACCAAGTGTTTTTTCTCAACTCCTGTGACTTAGCTACTTAAAAATATTATTTACTATTGTCATAAAGTCTAAGAAAATGCAATTTTTCAATTACAGATTCTGGGAAGCAAACATTGAGTGTACTTTTTTTTTTTAGTGGCACTTTCGTTTTTAGATGACTATAAATGTTTTCTACACATAACACAAATTGTCTCCTTCAAGCTTCTTTCTTTAACTGCATGCAAAGGATATCTATGCTCACAGAGTGCTTTCTCTTTAAATTCTCTGAATTCCATATACAACATTTCATTAATTATTACATTCAAGAAAAGATACTGTAGGGCATAATGGCTTACAGCCATATTACATTGAAACACCAGTTCTCATATGATCACCAAAGTTAAGCAACATCAAGCCTGGTCATTACTTAGATGGGTGATCACTTGGGAATACCAGATGCTGCAAGCTTGGATGTAAAGGTGGTCTAATGGATAATGCTCAAAATTAAAAAAATCAGCTTTCCAATTTTAGTTGGGTTTGTTATATTCACTTATGAGCAAACAAATCCACCTATTCTCCCTCCAGCTAAGGGTTAATTAGTAGAACTTGTAACAGTAAATTATTATTATCTCCAAAATATTCTTACAATCTAAGAAATGTTTTCTGGCTTTAAATAACCTGCAAAAGGTTGATAAGCTGAAAAAAAAAAACAAATAGATCAATGTAGGCCATATGATAAATAAATACAAGTTGGCAGAAAAGAAAATACAAAAACAGACATGAGACTGAAAATGTTGCAAAGCATTTGCGGTTCACCATAACCCCCAACTGCATTTTCATAATTTATGACAACAAGTTTCCTGCTCATATAACCAAGAAAATAATTTTACAACCCTCTTGTTTAAGAACAATATTTTAAGAAATGAAGACCATTCATTATTTGCATTCAGGCTAATTTACTCATTTTTGTTGCTGTTATCACAATGTTTTAGCCTTCTTCAGGTGTCAATCAATCCAAATAACCTTCAGTGAATTTTAAAATGAACCTTCTATTTAATCAACTGTTGTCGAGTAGTTTTCACAGTGGAGGCTTGTATTTCGCTAAGTCGGTCCCAAAAGGGTTCAACATACAAAACATTAGGAACTTGAAATAAGAGTTAATGATACAGCAATCTAGTTGTGGTGGATTGATACTTCAATGTCCGACATCGACTGACTCACTCAACTCCACTGAGCTCAACTGGCAACCGCTACTACTACTACTACTTATTATGTGTGGGAGAGTCTATTACAATAGAATAGGTAATGTTCTGGTATAACATCAACACAGATAACTTATCTAGGGATATCTCACCTTTTTCATCTTGAATTAGTTGATATAGTAATTGTGAGTTCAATCCCTGGGCCAGGTAGTACAAACTTAGGCTCAGGGGGAACAGGATGAGCAATAACTGAGCAGAACTGAAATGTTTGTAGTTAATATGAATATAACTGTACCACTTTTAGTGAAAGTCTTTTCAAAATAGCAACTCAGAAAAGAACTCAATGCCATTATTGTCAGTCAAAAAAAAAAAATGTTTATCAATTTTTATTTCAGAAAAAATACAAATTATTTTTTTCATAATTTCTGCTTTGGAATTTTACTGAGTGAATCCATTTGTAAAAAGTTTGGTATAGAAAATTTCATAACATTTCAATTCTATATGTTACATTCCATGCTAATAGGAATATATACTTGAACAACATGGTGGCTAAAATAAGTAAAGTTTTATTGTAGAAACCAGACAATAAGAAATAAGGTAACAGTTATGCACACGATCGTCACAAGTCAATCCAGTATTCAGTGCTGCTATTGGAAAGTCGGTAGTTCTTTTGTAAGTTATACTCAACAGATCCCAGCTAGTATATTTAGCTACCCCCCCCCACGAGGGTTGCACAAGGCTGCTTTAACATGGGTTCTCCAAGCCCGTAGGCTCAGCCAAAAATATTCCTTTTAGAACGCATATGAACGGGTTCAGGGGCAGTCTACCCCACCGACCGAGACTCCACCCTTCAGCAGAGCCTCATCCGGTCTCCTCTCTGCCCAAATGCAGAGAGTTCGACTGTCTAGCTAGAACAGATCCCAGCTAGACTCTGTAGTCCATTGACTTACCGATACTTATAGGTAGTTACTATCTATAGTGTAGTTACTCATGGGGGTGACAGTTTATTCCATTAAATCACTATACTTATCTCAAGATTCCAATCTTGTAGAGCTATACTATAGTTAGTCTGGTACAAGGCCAAACAATGCCTCACCTGGCAGAATAAAGAGTTCTTTTATCAAAAACTGAAATTGCAACAAAAGTAAGAAGACAGAAAATGGGGCTGTCACTAAGAGAAAATGTGCAAGATACAAACTACAAATTGGAGATGTCTACATCAAACAAATACAAAAAAGGAAAGCATGAGGGAAGGACTAACCATCAACTGGAAGAAGACAGAGTATATGGCTGTTAGCAAGAAAAAAGCCAAAAATGCAAACTGTAAAAAGGAGATGTCAAAAATCAAAAAAGTACAGAAGTTTAAATATCTGGGAAGTGTTTTTAATGGTGGGCAGAAAAATGTGAGACTAAAAAATGTGAAAATTTTGTTACAGAATGCTGAATTGCTATATCAATCCATTTGTATCACAGCAAATGCTGGAAAATCTCCTTCACAGATGAAGAGGAAACTGAAGGCAATAGAAATGTGGTTCTACAGATACTGAAAATTCCATGGGCAGAGTGTGCAAGCATCAAGAAAGTCTTAAAAGAAATAGCAACACTTCCACTTAGAGATAGCTAAAATTTCTTTTACATATAATACGGAAACAGGGCTTCGAAAACTTAACACTCACAGGGCATATCAAAGGTAAGAGACATAAGGGAAAATAGCAGGCCACCTACCTGACAAGCTTGTGTTAATGGATAGCTGAATAGGGGTAGAAGGTTTGGCAAAGAGAGAAACACAGCTAAAGACCACAAGAGATAGGAAGTGGTGGAGAGACATGATCGCCTACATCTTGAATGGCACATAGAAGAAGAAGAAGAAATAATTCTGTTTTTCTTTTATTATAATTTATTCTTAATTACCCGACGCACTCTGTATATTTAAGAGCTTCTTTAACATAATATTTTTAGTATGAACACATGGCATTCCTACTACACAGTGATAGGCAAATTGTGCATATCAGTTTAGTGGACTTTTTCAATTAAATTTTATACTATGCTTGATACAGCAGGTGTGCAGTTAAATGTTTAGACGGTTAGTGTTGCAAGCATGAGTCCTTGATTTGAATCTATCATTGTTTTGTTAACAATGCAATTCTTTATAATAGCAACCTAAGGAAACAATCCTAGCATGCAATACTGTTGGGGAGGGCCTAAAAACCACATTATAGCACAAGGTCACAAGTCATTGTGACCGAGAAGACTCTCGGCTTGTTTAACTTCTGATCGCACTAGATTACGCACTCTCCATCTCTCTCTCTCAGAAACTGTAACTAAGGTCTGTTCAGGATAGTTGCAGTCCCAAGAACTGCTGCTTTGTGGAACAGACTCTTGGTGGTATTTTTTTTCCAATCTCTACAACCCTGACCTCGTCAAGTCTGTGTTTAACTTTTATCTTTCCTGCATTGCCCCAAGAAGTTCAATTCTTGCTCGCTCTTATGCTAATACAACACCATACAGTAATGCTCTACCTTGAGTGGATTTTGTATTAGGTAAACATTAGTGTAAAAAAGGAGACACAGTGAAGTAATAAATAGTGGTTCGAATTGAGAAATTGGAGAGCCAAGTTTGAATTCCAGTCAGATCTATTATATTTACTTACTTGTTAAGACCCTTGGGAAAAGGTATGAATCCTCTTCTTCTCTCCCCAGCTATGGGTAAATAGCAGGACAGACTAGATTCTATAGCCTTGGATGGCAACAGGTCTACTACAGAAAGAAATGGCAACCTACTGCAGGAAAAAATCTGTCTCGTCTGTCATGTATCTTTCGATATATGATTGCCTTAGTGTGTATCACACATGACACATAACTGACTGAGTGTAAAAAAAAAATAAAGATATACCACATGTTAGCTCTGTCAATGTTGAAAAATAAACACAAATGTGTCTGAGTAGGCATCTGCAGCAAGGATTAGCTAGTTCCTCTAGCAGATGGTTATACTCTGCCTGCTATCAAAATAGTTAATATATAAAACTCTATAATTATTGAATGGTGAACAGGTTGTTGTTTATGTTCAATATTTCCTGAATATCAAAATGAATAAATAAGTAAATATACAGAGCAACATAAAAGCTTTTAAGTGCAACTGTAAAATGACTCAAATATGGCTGCCGTTAGTTTTTGTTAGTGAAAGTAAAATTCATTGTCAGTGTCTTTTATCAAGTTTTAATGATAGAATTAATGGTGTGTGTGCCAGTCTTCCTGGATAATTTATGTCAAATTTAGTTGCTTATGTCATAAAATATTTGCTAGATTTTCATTCAACTGGTGCATGTCCATATTCTTTGCATCTATTTGGGTCGCCATTTTAATTACATTTCTTCTTCAGAAATACAGAAAACAAAAGAATGTCATTTTGATTAAATTGGATAATTGATGTCTAGTGTATTCAAAACCAAGAATTTTATCAATGATTGTTTTCTATGGGTTTACATTTAAGTCTCACATTCTATATCCAACCTCATCTCAAAGTAAATTCATAGCAAAATAAAAAGATCATTTATTTTTTAGATTAGAATTCAAGTATCAATAATTGCACAAATCCAATAGGTATTATCTATAGTTTAAAAAAAAATGATTACTTCCATTCCTCACATTTTTAGCTAACCTTTTATCTTGATTAAACTTAGAAATACTAAACTATACTAAAAGCAACATTTCAAGAAGTATTTACCGACTCGGTTATAACATCAACTTTTATGTTTGCATCTCTGATATTGAGAACTGTTGCACATTTTTTGATTGATTTTTGAAGCACATTTTGGTCAAATCATTTCTACAATCCTTGGATATGGATGTTTAAATTTGTATCTAAGTTCACAAGATTGATGAAAGAAACAAAGGACAGCTCTGTTCGCAAATGAATCCTTATTCACTTAAATATTTACTATCTGTCAAACCTGGTATCTAAGGTATTCCAACATGATGTGATGCTTAGAAAGCTTGTCTCACTATATCAATTACGACTAAATTCCCCCATACTTTTGACCTTGTGCCACATCTAAACTATGCCTTAAAATCACCATCAAACCTGGTACCTGGAGAAAGATGCCTTTTCAAATTATGAATAGAAGAATTCTATAAATTTGAATAACTCTTGAACATGTCACTTATTTCAAATAGAGATAGGCATGAAATTTAAGGGGCCTAACTCTTACTTTTAGTTCAATCGAATATTGATGTTTTGCTGTCTTATGATCTACAGGTTTACCTCA